CCCACCGAATACACGCACGCGGACGCACATAGTTGCAGAGCAAAGAAGTGTTATCTTATTGTTGCCCTACAGACTTCACGCGGCTGGGAGAAAAAAAAACTATGTTCTACAAACTAGAGCTCCAGAAAATCATCAAGGTGGAACCTCATCTGCTTGAGCGGACACTGAACCGTCACCTCGCTAGGTACCTTCGTAATGCTGTGGAAGGCCACCCGCTGCAGATGCCTCTTGTCAAGGGTAGCAACGGCGAGGTGAGCCGCATGGATCAGAGCTCTTCTGCGGTTATCATCGCAGTGCTTGACATCCTCAACACAGAGACACTGGAAGGGAGGGTGCTTGACGACGGTAGCGTCTCATTCTTGCTACAGTACGAGGCCCTTGTGTTTAAACTGCACAGAGGTGAGGTGGTGGATTTGATGGTTGGCAGCGTGGAGCGCGAGGGCTGGTGGGGAGACATGATGGGAGTGGGGAGAATGTACATCAGCCGTGGGCAGATGGGCAGCGAGTGGGTGTACGAGAACGATGGCGTCGAGGGCATCTGGATCACAAAAGACGGTTCGCGGTCTGTAAAAGCCGGTGAAATTGTGCGCGTGCGCGTCGTCGCGGAAACACCGCAGTCGGAGGGCGTGGTGGCCATTGGTAGCATGATCGGGAAGCACCTGGGCCCATTGTAAACCTGAAGAGTAAAAGAGTCTGTGTGTGTGTGTGTGGTTTGTTTCGTCCCTTTAACGAGGCGGTGCTGCTGCTTTTTGGCGTGTGGGTGTGCTCGGCGGCACCACGGCCCCCATTCCTCGGCCAGGACGTGCTGGTGCGTGCCGCAGGACTCTCGCACATGGACACACATACTCACACGCAGAAACACGTGCATGGTTTACTCTGCTGTGCGGTGCGACGGACAACGTTGATATGTCATGTCTTTTTTTTTGTTGTTGTTTCTCTTTATCGCTATCCATCTCCGTTTCTGTCTCTCTTTGTGCCCGTATATGGCTGTTTAGCGCACAAGAGAAGATGTCAATGACCCACGGCGGCTCCAGCAGCGCAGACGCCACGCCCGAGCAGAAGCGGAGGCCATCATTTGGTTGGCGACGCGTTCTCCTCGGTGTGGCGGTGGTTGCTGTGATGGCGGCAGCGTGGCGCAGCGTGTACCAGGCGAATCAGCGCGAACTTTTCGCGCGGCGACGGCAGCAGCAGGACAGAATACTGGCTGCTGCGCTAGCGGAGGTTCCAGGCAGACGCTTTTCGGTCACCGACGTAAACCCTGAGGTCCTACGGAAGAATGCCTTGGTCGAATGACCAGAGTCGTGGGGGACTGCGGCAATATGCACAACCATACACATGAGCACACACGTTTCTGATGGGGGTATTTCTTCATCTGCACACATACAGACACTTGCACACCTTGTGTGAATAAACAGTTATATCCTGTTTGCGCCCCCTCATTTAGTTCTTTATTTTTTTTTTGTAATTGTGGTTGGTCTTTTCTCGCTCTTCCTCTATGCACCGAAAGTACGCCAAGTACAACTAGTAGCTGTAGCAGTAGACGGAGCCTGGCGTTTGTGTGTGTGTGTTTGTGTGTTTGTATTGTACACAAGGGATAAAAGTTTGGCGGCGACATTCCGAGTTACGCAACCGCACAGTTCACGAAGCTCCACGGATTGAATTCTTTGACGTGACGGGGCAGTTGAGGAGAGCTACTACATTTACAACGGCGGACACCAACTGGGAATCAGAGTGGTAGCGCTTTGGGGGGAACGGGTCACCTCTTGTGACTCCAGGCGCACACATCTTGCGGGATGATGTCACTGGAGACGGAGCCAACGAACCGCCGAAGCGACTCGCCATGTTCACCGAGCTGGCAGTTCTTTGACGACAGCGAAGACGACGACTGCAGCAGCAGCAGAAGCAGCAGCAGCAGCGGCGGTGGCGACGGGGTCCTCCGCATCCCCAGTGAACACTGTACCCAGGCCCCATATGGCTGTGCGATTGGACATGGTGGTGACCGCGGTTCCCTGGTCTACGGTGTTGATGACGGGCTGGATCTTCCGCTGTGTGTTGACCGCCCGCTCGCTTTCAAAGTGTACCCTGTCAGCATCACGCAAAACGAGATGTCGTTTATTCGCGCCCTTTTCTCCAATGATTTTGCTGCATCTGATTGTGACGGCGGGGAGCGTGCGCTCTGCCACAAGGTTCCGTACTTGGTACTCCCGATGGCCATTGTCACGATCAGCGGTGTTGACCGCGGAATTTTGATGATGCGACAAGACTGCAGTCTTAAGCAGTTTCTCTTCGCGAACACAACAACTGGGAGGATGGGTGATGAATGCAGCTGGACAGAGAGCTATACTGATGAGGATGACGGTAGTTCATTTCGCTCACAAGTCGCGTTCGATCCGATCCGCGCCTGTGAAGTTGTTACTGCCATCACCTTCCAGCTGGTGGCTGCCATTGCCGTTCTTAACGAGGAGGTGCCACACGTGATAGACGGCGTCACATGTCGTGGATTCACCCACAACGACATCCACCTGGACAATATTCTGCTGAACTGCAGCTCTGGTTGCATCTCCCTCTGTGACTTTGAACTTGTTGGGCATATTTCGAAACACGGCGAGGCAGTGCCGCAACCCGTTCTTCAGCGCCTCCCGCCGTACTGCCGCCAGTCGCCACACGGCCTCTTCTGCCGCACGGCGGACACATGGGCACTGGGCCTTGTTGTGGCGTCACTGCTTACCGGTGTTGACCCGCTCTTCGCGGACGACAGGCTGATGGACGACTTTGGTGACGGGCCACTCTTGCAGAGCTACAGGGTGTCGGAGGGAACGGTGCCGGTGCTCGACTGGGAGTCGAATATTAAGGCACACGTCGAGCGTCTGCTGCAGCGTGATGATCCAACTGGCCGTCGTATGAACGAGGCGAAGCCATTGATGGAGATATGTGCGAGGTGTCTTGTCAACCGCCCTGACGCCAGCCCA